TAATTTTAAGATATATATTTTTAAAATATTTTTAAATTTTGGTTGATGTTAAATAAAAAAATCTCATATTGAGAATATAATAAATAAATATATAAATTAAATATAAAAAGAATTACTCTATTTATTATCAATTGATTTTAAATTGGATACAAGTTTTATATTGAAGTTCACATGTATAATTTTTACAAGATATCATAATTCATTTTGGGAAACCCCCAACATTAAGAATAAGCTCCATATGAAGAGATATGTTGCGTTAAAAAAAAAATCTCACATTGAAAATATGACAAGGAATAAATATAAAGAAGAGGACTATTACACCTATTATCAATTGGTTCTAAGTGAAATGTAAATCTCGTATCAAACTCTACATGTACAATTTTTAAATTTGATAACTTTTCTATTATAATAAATATAAGATATAAAGAGATAATATGAGATATAAAGAGAGTAGGAAATGGTGTGCTTTGTTGAAGGTAATATTTGGGAAGTGATACATTTCAGGGAGGTCTAAGTCTAACCGTTAAAGGGGACCCCAATCCAAAAATTAGAAAGATTCACGCTCAATGCATGGGCAAGAGGCTTTCCGTCATTTGGAGGACAATGGACGTGCATACATCAATGGATTCTAACGTAAGGGATGAGGTAAAGGGCAAGAGCCATTTTCTTGGTAGTTTCTCCTCCCCTGGCTTTGCCAAAGAAAAAACTTTTAGATCTTTAATTAAATGCATGTGTGCTGCAAAAATAATGTGTTCAATTGGTTCAAAAGGCAGAAAAATGGAATACTAAAGGGAAAAAAAAACATTATAATTGACTCTTTTAATTTAGTTTAATTTAATAATTTAAAACTTTTTAGTGCATAGGCTATCAACTCATGGAGGAAGGAAAAAACAATGCATCTTTGTAGTTAGTTTCTTATTCATAAGAAATGAGGTCGCCCTAAGTATACGAGGTCAACCATTAATTAGCTTCTTTTTTTTTTGGTAAGCAAGCCAAGCATTAGTACTTCACTTCAAATGGCTAATAATGGTAATAATTTGGTATTGCCACATTTTTCTCATCCTTTTTGACATCCTATATATCTTTTTTGGAGAAGGATTCGAACTACAACTTCATCCGGAAGAAAAAAAATTATACTAAGAGGACTAGAACTGTCTGTGGGCTGGACCTTGACAGGTTAGTTCTGGACCTAACTAAATATGTCTACGATGAAAAAGTTCCTAACAAAGCCCGACCTGATATTATTCCCAAGCCTATGTCCTAATAATGAGGTTCACACCTTTGACTAGTTGACCCCACCTTTTTGCCTGGTAGGGTCCACAACCTCTCAACCAATATCATAAATAAGTTGTTACAGTATCACATTTTCTCGTTAGCCAACAATTTTTATGGGGCAAAACGTCAAAAAAAGAATTTTTATGGGGGCAGACCCCGTTACTATGGATACAAAATTACAAACTTCCTAATTTTTCTAATTAAATATATTTACTTTTATTGTCCCTTATTAAGATAAGAACTTTGTGTTTTTCTATTGATTATTTAACAATGCGATATTGGATATTATTAAAATTGTCTACCTTTCTATTTATGGCACCTATTTAATCTATTGTGGATGCCAAATTTTAGTACTACTTTTATTTTTTTGTTGTTCATGACACCATGTCATCGTCTGCCCTCAAATTAGTCCACATCAGCAGCATTGGCAGACCCAACGAATGGCAATTGACTTACTCAAAATACCGGCAACAGACCGGCATGTAAGCATTTCCGTCTGTAATGGATCTTTCAGAGAGGAAAAATTCAAAGTCAATTAGGATTAGGATTCGATTTAGAAAAATTCAAAGTTTCATATCCTTAATTATTAATTATTAATGAGTTTTGCCCTTCCTTTGGGTTAAACGGTCACTGTAACCATTTCTTTTCTCTTTCTATTTTTTCTTAGCTCTTGAGTATGAAAAGAATTTGATATTTCTCAACTAAAATTATATTAAATTATACAAAACATTAATTTTTAAATAAAAAATTTTAT